AGAACCGCTGAACTGCAGATAACAGCCAGCTGAAGTGGCCTGCAGTACTGCACCCTAACCACTGCACCACCTCGGCTCCAGTTGTTGGAAGAAATCTCCTTTTGTTTCCCCCCACTTTACAGGGCTAATCCTGTAAGGAAGGCAGGAAGGAAACATTCTGGTGTTGTTTTTAGCCTAATCTTTATTGCCCTGCTTACAGAAACTGCCTCTCCTGTTGACCCTTATTACATTGTAACAGTTAGGATGAAGCGCCCATCATCGTCAACGATGTTGAGTTGGCCTCTCCCACCCGGTTACATGACCACTGAGCCTCGCCTACCCAACTGGTCCTTAGGGCAGAGAACCAGTTGTTAAATTATTTGAATCCCGCCACTGCTTATGACCATTTTTAATATTTACAACAGTGATCACAAGACCAAAATGCAGATTCTTGGCCAATGAATGACTCATATTTATGACAATTGCAGTGTCCCGGAGTCATGTGATCACCTTTTGCGTCCTTCTGACAAGTAAAGTCAATGGGAAAGCCAGATTCACTTAACAACCATGTAACTAAGTTAACAGGTGCAGTGATTCACTTAACAACTGTGGCAAGGAAGGTTGTAAAATGGAGCAAAACTCAACAAGTGTCTCACTTAGCAACATACCTTGTTTTTCAGAGTATCAGATGCACTTTAATTTGGGGGAAGGAAATCAGGAAAAAGACCCTTTCTGTCTCTTTCCCAGCAGCATCCATCAGTATTTATCTGGCTAACGTCTTTGTTGCCTCGGTCGGAGCCTGATTCCCGAAGCTGCCCGGGGAACTGTGATGAAAGCCTTTTCAATGAAAGCGATTTTGGGCTGTAGCACCACAATCCCCTCCCCGATTCTAAAAAGGGTGTGTGCAGAGGCCAAACAGGTGCATCGTGTTTCAGGTGTCAGGCAGTTCCAGCATTGCCACCTGAAAATGCTTTCCCTCCCAGTTTCCCAGTGTACATCGCAGAGCCACACACCCTCCTCCTCCTCTACAGACTCGCTGCCTGTTTTCTCCTGGCCTGCACCATTGGCCAGGGGAGGCAGCAAGAAAAGCAAGAGGGCAGCACAGTCGGACAAGGGCACAGGAGCTGGGCGTGGACAAAGGGCAGGCAGATTAGAGGCAGCCGGCCAATTGCCGGCTTGCCGGCTCAGCTGCTGGCCACTCGGAGTGCACAGGCAGCAAAGGAAACCAGCGTCGTGGCTCTATTAAGATGTGCATTTCACAGTGGGGCACAATTTGGGAGTGGCAGATGGGGCAGGGGATGGGGTGCCCTGGCAGCTGCTTCTTGGAGCCTTAAAATTGGACTGAGTTGGCATGCTCTGGGTCTTATCTACCAAACAATATCATGTAAGTTTCTCCATCACCGCACTTGGAACAGTATCTTCATAGATGTTCATATGGCCCTCACCCTGATCAAACTTAAATAAACTCTGAAAAGTTGGCTTTTTCCTCAGGCCATGAGTAGGGATAGGTTATCTGCTAATGGATGATGCCTAGTTTTGATCCCTTTAGTGGAGAGGCCCATCTCTTCTTCCTAAGAATCCACCTCATTGTTTGATAGAAAATAGGATTCTTTATTGGCCAAATGTGATTGGACACACAAGGAATTTGTCTTTGGTGCATAAGCTCTCAGTGTACATAAAAGCTACAAGTGATCAATCATGATCATAGTCATCCTAAAAAATACATTCGTCATAAATCATGAGATACAATGCTTAGTGGTAGTCATAGGGTATTAAATAAGCAATCAACATAAAGCAAACTAAATAAAATACTAGAAATCATAAAATGCAAGCAACAAAGTTATAGTCATAAGTAGAGAAGGAGATAGGTAATAGGAAAAGATGAGAAGAAGAATAGTAATACAGCCTTACTAAATAGTTTGACAGTGTTGTGGGAATTAGTTGTTAAGTAGAGTGATGGCATTAGTGCTGTTTTGAGGATAGAAATTGAAACAATTTATGTCCAGGATGTGAAGGGTCCATAGATATTTTCACAGCCCTCTTTTTGACTCATGCAGTATTTGTTGTTGTTAGTTGCAAACTCGTGTTCAACCCATCGCAACCCCATAGACAATGTTCCACCAGGCCTTCCTGTCCTCTACCATCCTCTGGATTCATGCTCACACCTACTGCTTCTTCGGTGACTCCATCCAGCCACCTCATTCTCTGTCATCCCATTCTTCTTTTGCCCTTCAATTGTTCCCAGCATTGGGCTCTTCTCCAGTAAGTCCTTCCTTTTCATTAGGTGGCCAAAGTATTCGAGTTTCCTCTTCAGGATCTGGCCTTCTAAAGAGCAGTCAGGATTGATCTCCTCTAGGACTGACAGGTTGGATCGCCTTGCAGTCCAAGGGACTCGCAGGAGTCTTCTCCAGCACCAGAGTTCAAAGGCCTTAATTCTTTGGCCCTCAGCCTTCCTTGGGGTCCAACTTTATAGCCATACATTGCAACTGGGAAAAACCACATCCTTGACTATATGCAGTTTTGTTGTCTTCAATGGAAGGCAGGTTGGTAGCAATTGTTTTTTCTGCAGTTCTAATTATCCGTTGAAGTCTGTGTCTGTCTTGTTTGGTTGCAGAGTTCTTCATTATGTTCTTCTGAATTGTAGAGTGCATATGTGAAACAATGGATGGAGGTCTTTTTCTGTCTCCAACCACTTTTGGGACTCTTTCTGTTTCTTACAGGCATTCAACGAGCTATTTTTCGGCAGGCCATGCGCCATTGGGAGAAGTATACTTGCGTAACCTTCTTGGAACGAAGCGATGAGGACAGCTACATTGTGTTTACACACAGGCCATGCGGGTAAGCAACAGGAAGACTCTGTCATCTGCTCAATTGCATAGTCTTCCTCTAGTACAGAGGAGGAAACCTTAATACTCTCAAGTTTCAAAGACAAGCCAAGGAATATAGAGCATTGCCAAGTGCTTAATACATTGGATCAAAGGTCAATTGATTGCTCAATCAAAGGTCAGTTGATTGCTCATCCAGTGTCTGTTGTGTAGTCATGTTTATGCCATCAGAATTTCTGGAAGAACATTTGGGAGAAATGAACTGAATCAGAGACCGGAATGATTTGAAACCAAGAAGCAGAATCCCAGGAGGAATAACTTAACCAGTTTTTAATTTTGCTCTTGGTGGTCTCTTAACTCTGATATTGACTTTAAAAAAGGACAATTACCTTGAGTTCTCCATGGCACCGTAAGAACTAGTTGCAAGTATCTCTAGAACAGGTAGAACATGACACTATCATTAGAAATAGAAGCATACTTGAAGCAAGCCTCAGATTCCAGTCCCCTTTCTTTCTTCCTTCCTTCTTTAAGAGTAGCAATAACAAGAGCCTCGGTAGCACAGTGGTTAGAGTGCAGTACTGCAGGCTACTTCTGCTGACTGCCTGCTGCCTGCAATTTTCAGTTTGATCCTGACCAGCTCAAGGTTGACTCATTCCTTCCATCCTTCCAAGGTGGGTAAAATGAGGACCCAGATTGTTGGGGGTAATAGGCTGACTCTGTAAACCGCTTAGAGAATGCTGTAAAGCACTGTGAAGTGGTATAGTTTAAGTGCTATTACTATTTTTACTTAGACTTATATACCACTTCATAGTGCTTTACAGCACTCTCTAAGCAATATGCAGAATCAGCATATTGCCCCCAAACATCTGGGTCCACTAAAATGCTCCATGCATGATAATTGAACTTAGATATGTGGTAGCACTAAATTTACAAAACTATTTTGCTTTCTTTTCCTAGCACAGGTTCAAAGACTTTAGGAGTCATCAATAACATTATTTAAATTACTTTTAGGTTGAGATTTGAGGTTTATTGGATTTATATGCTGCCCTTCTCCCAAGGACTCAGGGCAGCGTACAACACAAAAGAAAACACATATTACAAAAATTAACAGGGACATTAAATAAAGTATCCAAAAAACCCAATTGATATTT